GCATGAACCTCCGCCGTACAAGGAAAGGAGGGGGGAAGGAAGTACCTTCAACATTCTTGTTGTGAAAAAAAACGGTCATAATTGAGATTGAACTTCATGCTCTCTCTGAATCCCATACGTCCCCTTTGCTTTTTTTCACAAAAACGAATTCCAGCTTGCCCTCCGGAGACTTGCCGCCAAGGTCTGCTTCATGCTTATGGGCACCCCAAAAAAAAACTATTCTTTATGCAGTTGTTTCAACTAGTTCGTGTACTTCGACTTGTTCTGACCGGGTTTCAAATGTAGAAAAGTCATTTTTTATGGTTTATTTATCAAAATGAGTGGCAACTCATCAACATAGGTAAACGCGGAACGGAGATGCTAAGACTAGTAAGCAATTAACACTTCGTTGTCCACGTTTACTTCTTGCTTTTTTATTTATTTTATCTAAATTATTACTGGTGTGTATCAATTTCGGCTGAAAGCAAAAAAAAAAAAAAAAACACGAAACCCCCACATTTTGTTTTAACAATTTGATAATTTGCTTATTGGTTTATTGTTTATGCAATTTTTCAGGTGAACTGAAAAAGCAGCCTCATTTTAGTTTCTCGCCGCGACTGTTGCTTTGCCGCTAGGAAGCAGCAAAGTGCCAAGGCTTTTCAAAAAAAGAAGCAAAGGAATTTTTGTCTTTGAAAAAATGGTTCTGAATAAAGAATTCATTTCACAACTGGTTTCCGAGGCATATTTTGGAAAATTAAACTTGCAGTTTATGTGCGCAATTTTACAATCTCACCCAAAAGTAATGTGCTCGAGAAATCTACATAAACTGTGCCGAAGTACTCTGCTTTCTTACAAATTTCAACGATTTTCTTCTAGAAAAACGCTGCAGTTTGATTAGTACAACTTGTAAACCTTTAAGAAAACTCTAGAAAAGCGACTATTTTGTAAATGTTTTTTCGTTGATTTTCTTTCAGAAAACTTTGATTCAATAACAACAGGAAATTCCTTTTCTATTCACAACCTTCTTACATAAATAAGCGTAATTTGGAAAGGCAGAAAAGATGGAAAGCAATAAAAAAGAAAACGCATTGAAAAAAAATTGAGGATTAGAGATAAATTGAATGGAAAAGCAAAAGTTTTCTCATATCAAAGAGCATCCTGCAGTCGTTTCAAAGGGAAAAACTACGATGTTTTTAGGCAAATAGGAACAAAACCGTGGAATTTTACATATTGTTATTTTTGTTGCATGAGCTAAAACTCCATGTTTTATAATTAGAATGTGAAGACCCCCTGTTAGAGATGATGAATTGAAGGTTTCCTCCAATTGATATAGTTTTTGCCGCGAAGCTTATTTTCTTTGCAGATATATTGCAGTGCATGAAAGATGGACTATACAAAATGAAGCTTCACTGCGCTTTGTGAGGACACACCAAAAATTCATTGTAAAAAATACCAATTCATGATAATTTCATTTCTGAGATTAAAAGAAAGTATTACTCATCTTCACGTTTAACAGTTTCCCTTTTACCCTCATTTCATTCATCGCAGATGCGACATGAACATAATGGATGAAATCTTGATTTCAATTCTATGGCGAGAAACTGAAGAGGCAGTGCGCGAGACCCTAGAAGCCTGTTGGAATGGAACGCAAAAAATCAAAAAAATCAAAAGGAGGAATCCACTATCGTAACAAAAGACTAGTAAACCGTTGTACAATTGTACCAGGAGGCTCAGTGATCTCATCAGGTGAATTGACAAACCGGGAACCATTGCAGCAGTGGCTCAGTGGAAATCACACGTTTGGTCTACGGCTGTAAGCTGTGAATGTAAGAATTCAGACTACCACTCTGTGATTATTGGAAAATGCAACAGCGATATAAGTAATAACGAAAAAATGAGCATATAAGAAGACTTTATTTTACAAAATTATAGAAAATATTCGACTAATTACTTCATTATGTATACAATAAGAAATATAAACATTTTTCTTCCCAATGTGCTACCCTAGCTTCAAAGCGTATACCTTGGCTTAAAAATAGCATAAAACCACTAACTAAAAAATTGCATAGCTTTCTTTGGAGCTGTTCTGTTTTTGCATGCCACCGTACACACCTAATCCTTTTATCTTCATCTCCATGTCTTACAGGATTGCGCCTATGGAAGTGCCAGAAACTCCGGAAAGTGTCTGAAATTAGAAATGACTTGGTTTTCAAGGAAGTATTCTCAGAAACTTTTCTTTTGATTCAGACTCCTCCAACCTATACTGGGTAAGCACCTGTCTGTCTACTTTATTTGAGAAGAAGGCCGGCTATTGTAAATAGTTGTGAAGTCATAATGGTGTTTAAGGGCAAACATTGGTATACATAGTTACCTTGGTAAATCAGCTCTACTTCACCCTGTTTCAAATATGTGAATGGTACGATTTTCGTTAGTTTGTGCCACGGTACGTTAAGTTTACGCACCCGTGATGGAGCGCTGTACTATATAAATTATCTCTTCGAAAACATAGTCTATTTGATTAAAAACGGCAAA